CTGGTGCTATGCAAGTGGGGTGGGCACGCCCAGCTTATCAAGTGGCTGCCCTCAACCCCACCCCCCCCCCTCTAGATTGTTCAAAAAACTCCGTTAAAAAATGCGGCGTGCCCACCCTACTTGTATAGCACCAAAAAACTCATGGGTATTGTCATTCGGACGGAATTCCAAGGAGAGGAGCGAAAAGTGAGGAAATATTAGAGGATGAAGAGATAGAAAAGGCAAAGAAAAGCACAGAGTGGAACCCGTCAGCTCCTTGGACGGGTGCGGTGTTCAATAATCAATTGACTCCCTGCCCTCCCACGTCGCGACCCCTACCACCATTTCCCGCCTTGCGGACTTCGATCCACATAATTGACCACCCAAATTGCTTCCTAAACGGACACCACTGGCCGAAGATTCAGTAAAAGTAGCTGGGTATTCCTAAAGGCGACTCAGTCCTCATCTGTACAGTAATCTTAACTATTTACTAGTTATTATGAAGTTGGAGGTGAGCGTTGTTCTCCACCGGCCACCAGTGCTGTGACCAGTTGAGTCGGTACCTTATCATATCGATAGAACGGTGATCTCCTAGGGCTGGGCTATTTCTCATCCGAGTATTGATCAGTGAGGCCTCGCTACCGAATAGTTGCAATTTCAATTGAGCTATCCCTTTGAATAGGCGCGTCATGTATCGGACTTTCAGTGTTAATGATTTGGCAGTTAAATGCCAGTATGGTCCATCCATCGAAGTGTGGAGCTAAACCATGAGTCTCTGAAACGACGCTGGGACCTAACACATGGAAAGAGGAAGGAGAGGGAAAGATTGAATTTTAGGGAGACTCGATCCAGATACAGATCGATGGCCCTTTGCCTCTCTCAATTTCTCCCTCAATTTCTAAAATTGACTAAAGAGAAGTGAAAGAGTATTTCTGCAGAATGCTATCCAAGCAACCTTAGGCCGATGTCAGACTTTGCGAATCGCGCGATTCGCTAGCGTCTGCGGTCGCGTCGCGGCCAGTGAATCACTCAATTGGCTGGTACCGCAACGCGACCGCGGACGCTAGCGAATCGCGCGATTCGCAAAGTCTGACATCGGCCTTTATCGTCAGCATAACAAGTTTCAAATTACGGATTCAATACCAGCGCCCTAAAGTATAAAATATGAAGAACAGTTTCATGAGTTTGAAACTCGCTTACTTCCTCGCGGCCCTATTGCAATGGTTATTGGCTCAAGTATATAAGTGGAATTTGCTGTAGTGGACTGTACAAAGGAACCCAATCACTGTCCTACCATCTATTTCTTAGGCCTTACAGCGATCAGCACTTCGTCTTTATGGAAGAACTGGGAGCTGTTCGACGGTCGTCATTTGCGAAGATCATATGCATGAATACTGCCGACATGGAAAGCGTAGGAAGGCGAGATAATCACAAGTATCGCAAGCAAAACAAAATGTGAATGGGAAAAGGAAATAGAAGAAGAAAGAAGAAGGTAAAGGATGGTTCTTGCGCTCGGGTTATCGAGAAGTGTCAGAGATTGGTGTCCTCGAAAACCTTCTAGTTTCTTCTTTCATGACACATGTTTCTAAAATGGAAAGCTCACTTGGAATATTGGCCTAGAACGATTTTGATGGGAGCAGGATCAATCCTAGCGACAAGCCAATCTCGAACACTAATTACGGCCCTCTCTCGGTGGGGGAGGTGTTGGTACGTATCAATCGTCCCATCAGCTCAAGATATTTTCAAATAAAACCACCCGCTCTTCCCCCCCGTCAATACCATGATTGATTCTACAGCATTAAGTCGGACGATGGTGGAAGTGGCGAGAAGGGGGAGGGGTATCGTGGGTAAATCTGTTCAAGAAGAAGCAAATGCTCGTTTCCTGGTTTCCCGAAAAGACGTCGATACATCCCTTAGTAGTTGATCTTCGTCAACCTCAGATAAGATCCCTTCCTCAGGCTGGACCCGGCCAACGATTGACCCTAGATGGAAGTGGTGGCGTTGATGAAGATGGTAGCTCAGAGGACGTTTCATCATCGAACGTCGTCTGATTCGGAACCCTTGTTGACTAACGCTCAATTTTCCCCTGAACAATGTACCCAATAGTTTTGAATTTTACCAAATTTCAATTTGATTAAAGGGCGGAGGTGATTTGATGGCAAGTAGCGCCATTTACCACGCACGAAGACCGAGGATCGAGTACCAGATCGAATCTCGCTTGGGCCAACCAAGCCTCTCTGCCTTGGCACTCCTCCCGGGTAGGGTGTTGAGTGGCTCCGGGCTCGTCTATGAGCACAAATAGTAGATGCGAGCGGCCGCGTAGCAGCTTAAAGCGACGCTTTCGAGCCTACTACACATAGACCCACTGGGATTAGTGGAAGCGCTCGGAATCGAGGCTCTCAAAGTTGTTCTGAAAAACCGCGCCATAACTGCACGCATCGGTAATCGGTGGAACACATAACCCACAAAACAGCAGCTTAATTCTCCATTTGATATTAATCTTTATTTTTCTCCAAGAGATTTTTCGTGCAATCACTATACATCAGCAAATACAAAAATCAATTAAAATTTGTTCAAAATAAAACAAATGTCAAAAACATGACGAAATAAGAGGCAACCGAGATGAGGAAAAAAGCAGTGGACAATCTTAAGTTGTGAAAGTAAGACTTCAAACATTCTTGTGAGGTTTGATCCGGAATAGATAACAAAGATTCTGATTATGTAAACAGTAAAAGTGAAGGGATTAAGAATCACCTGATGAACATTTCAAAAACTTCGTTAAGACAGCCAAAAGGCCCAATTTTTATGGTAGGTTCCATGAGGGTGCCGGAACCACGCCCCTCTGGGAACACTCCGCCCATTAAGGAGGAAAGCGCTCCCTTCATTATGATGACATGGAAGGAAGTAGGAAGTTTGCGAACAAGGAAGTAAACGAAGTGATATAAGGTGCATGCTGTCTTCGGATGTGAAAATTTTGACGAAAAAACAAAATAAACGAAGACAAATGTCATGAGGTATAGAATAATAGAGGATGATAATGGAAGGATGGGATGAACTAACACAAATAAAACCCGAAAATGTTTGTCTCGAAACAATGACAAGAACTAGCTCATTATAGTGGAGGGGAAGGTAAGGATGGGTGAGGGGGGAGGCGAGGAAATGCATAAAATTTGGATATATTGGAAACCTTTCTACAATGGGACTTTATAATGACAAATTCACCCAGAAATTATGCGAATCCAAGCCTTCGGTTCGCTCAAAGGGTGACGTTTGGAGAGTGAAAGAACCCGCTGAGTACTGATGATTTTTATGCCAAAGACCGTTTGTGTTCAATCTTATTTCAGCACCAACTGATTTAGACACACTGTCGGAGACAATTTTCAGCCATTTTAAAACTATAGGTTCACAGGTCCAAAAATGCCGTTTTGCGTAAAGGTACGATGTGCTTATATAGCACTTCACGATTTACAGGGCACATCAATGCTCGCTTTCTCTGAGGAGGCATCCTTCAGTTGTGGATAGAAAGGATATCGAGGAACGAATGGCTGAAATACCAAATTAGAAATCGGTCGAAACAACAATGAGGGTCTTTCCCGCGAAACGCATGGACGGAGTCACTTGAATCATTCCGGGCTAACCGTTAGTCCACCCTGTTTTACTCCCTGTTTCAAGAAGCAGAAGAGATCCTTATTGGGAGGGCACAATGATCTGACTGACTCCGCCCATTCGCTCTACGTGCAATGTGCCTTTAAGTTCGTAACTTACCTCCATGTCATCGGTGTCCATGGTGGTGCCACCCACTCCTTGTACTGCCTCTTCGTAACTGGGTGGCGGAGGTGGATCAACTGCAAAGTAAGAAATCTCACTGCTAGAGTTCTACCTGCACAGAGGCAGTGAAAAGTGTGGAAAAGAATAAGGAGGTCTAGGCTCACCACTGGCTCCGTTCCCTATCGGATATGGCGGGGGTGTTTCCAATGGCGGTGCCGAGGGTTCGCTAGACGACGGCAGTGGAACGTCTGGCGGTGGTGCAGAAGGTTGCGGAGCAACATATGGATTTCCCACCGGAATCGTACCCACTATTATATGGCAGTGGGAATCACATCCCTTTGAATGAGGCTTGCGTCTTGAATTTCACCTGAACAGCTACTTTTGCGTGATGAGAACATGGAATAAATTCGCATAAATTCACCTATAATGGAAATAAAATAAAAACACCGATAATTACCTGTTTTTGCCTACGTGTTTTATTGCGTTACCAATTTGGCTAAGCGAAGTAAGGCGTGTGTTTTCATCAAGAGAACAGGAATTTTAATTTTGCCCCGCCCACCTTGGCGCACGCCCTCCGCCTACCATAGGCGCTTGATCTCTCCTATTTCCTTCCACTACTGTTTACTTCTCTTTCTGACATCTCAAACTTACCGGAACAGGGCTGAGAGTTCTATTAAGCGCCATCCGTTTCGGAGCGTGCTCCATCCATCAGCAGACTTGTCGCATTATACATCTAAGGATTCAAATTCCGGCGCAGTGGCACACCTAAGATTCTTACGGTCGACGAGTGACACCTTAGCAAAGGGCTAAGTGACAAAAATTTCCTCAGAGTAATCTTGGGGTGCGCCATGATCTTGATTTTCCTTCGAAAAAATCACAGGTGCATTTGGACTATTTTTCGGCCAATAAAATGGCTGAAAAACCTCCCGATATTTCTGTCACCTATTTCCCTTTCATGCATTTTCGTTCAGGCACTGATGAGGCAGTGACATATGTCACAACTATAATGTGTACGGTCCTGAAAATGGAACCCCGCCTAGGATAAGAAAACCTCCTACCAACGCCCGCTTACAGGAATCACTTTGATCTGGGGTACAACACCTAGCTCGTACTCATCAAGCACGCATATAACCATTGAAAAAAGCGAGTACGATTAGATATACACGTTGGATATCACGTCCTAAGAGGCATATGGTGAGAGCTGCAAGCTTATCTTCTGGCCCAGCACCACTATGCAAATTTTGGAATGAGGGCTTGGTTAGCCATGGTAAAGCTGAATTCCACGGACCGCGCAAACCGAGGTACCCGACGCGAGCCCCTCACGTGGCGAGAAGGCAGAGACGCAGACGGGACAGCGGACGAGTCGCAGCGCAAGCTGTAGCGATTTAGCCTCAAGTAAATCAATGCGTCTAACATTTGTAACATTCACGCCTGCCGACTCGTCCGCTATCTGACTGCCGTCGGCCTTCTCGCGAGCGACCGAACTTCGGTGCCAGGATAACTCCTTCCCCCCCGTACTGGAGAAGTATTCGTGCAAGAGTGACAAGCACAACGTCAGTACAGATCTCAATGACAGCACTTTCTAATAGAGTCAAAGTCATATAGATCTTACCTCAACCGTATACTCAACGCTGACAATAGGACAGCAGTTGAAAGTGGGTACTGTAGACGGGACCTGTAGATACAGTTGGACGTTGCCTCGCCCTTTCTTCGGCACGCAGATATCCTGAAATACCAGGAAGTTGATAGTAACATAATCTCGGGCACATTCCATAATAGCAGTAGTGGGTTCCAAATATGACGCAACAGGTAGAAGTCGGCTACGATGGGGAGGAGAAACGAAAATCAGCCGAAAACACTGATAGTTGGCTGAAGGGCGGAGCGATATCACGGCATTGAATGTCATTGGTGGATGGGCGTTTATGGGCGGTTCCATCCACGCGCCAGCGCTCTGAGAGGTCCACCCCACCAAAGAGGTCCGATGACGTCATCAAAACGCGCTTCCCTTCAGCCATCATGACCACTGCCTTTAATGATATAACAAAAGTAACTCTTTCAACCCATTCGACACCCACAAAGCGACTTCATCAGCCGAACGTGCTTCGCCTTTCTTACCTACGAAATTTCAAGGATACATTAAGCGTCCACATCGAAATTTTAAGGAATTTTTGAGGCTTTTTTTAGATTTTTAAAAGCTGAGATTGCCAAGACGCGAGTAAAAATTTTACCATGGGAACTCTGCAAGGCGCAGGACAACGGTAAGTAAGCCTTATGGGCATTGCACGAGCATGCAGTGAAGAAAAACTGGGTATCTGTATTAGAAACTAGACAAAAAGAAGATAAGAACGCATACAGACGAGTGAAGCTCAAACACCGCCAATAAACATCAATACAAAGACGCAGACACGAGCAAGGGTAGAGTCGCTGAAATGAAGCCAAACTATAACCCCACCTGTTCTCCTGTAGCAATTTTCCGTCGTAGTTCACGAGAATTATCCATATATTGAGTCGTTATGAAAAATCCACGATTTAATGTAGAACCATGGCGAAAGGCGACGTATTTCGAAATCTCCACCAATTTAATTGTGGCCTAAAAACATTTCTTTTGGATTTTTGAATTGACTATTCATTCCACATTGAACGTATGGGTGGTGTGACATGAAGCACTGCGTTTTTCTCAATGGTGAGCCTCGCAAAGAAAAGAGGCTCACCAATTAGGAAAGCGCAATGGTCCAGGTGACTCCGCCTACACAACGACGTGCAATCAATAAATTAAAACAACAAAAAAGGCCAGAATATAAAGAATCACCCTGACAATATCCTTTGAGCTGTCATTCACTACGTATGCGTTGACAACTATTGTCTCTCCGGGCACAAAACCTGTCTTTGGGATTTCACACTGAAAATGAAAATTAATTAACTTACTTTTCTCTTCAACACTTTAATAAAATAGCACCAGCGCCTGATTCTGGATAGGTTTGATCCTTGGCGTCATGCTCATGGTGCGCATTTGCCACTTTACCACTTTCTGTATTATATAAATATATCTTTTCAAACACGGTACCGAACAGTCGAAACCTTAGAACATATGAGCCTTAGTCAGTCCCGATCCCAAGCTCGACCGCCTATAGCCACAGCGTCCTTTGAGCTTCATAAGGTAGTGAAAAATAACAGCTTCACAGGAGATTAAGAGGTTCCCTAGGTTATCACTTACGGTGTACAAGTAGGGATCACAAGCCTAAAGCGAGCTTGCTTTGAGGTACATCTGTTAAGTCAAGTGGAGCTTATTCTATTAATTCAAGGGAAACATCAACGCGAGAAGGGTTTCATAGGTAGGCGATTCCCGCATAAACTTTAGTAGGATTTCGGTCAGAATAGCAGGTTCTGTTACGGGGCGTAAGGGACCAAGCACGATGATTTTTGCCGCGTCAAGGATAAAAGGCGTTAAGCTACACTAAGTGACCTTAACGCTGCCCCGTACCAACCACAAGAATGACAGGATGGTAGAGGAAAGCGCGTGTAGACCGATTCCATGGTTGATTTGTGGAATTAGTAGTAAAATATGACAGAACTGGCTCGACCCTTTTAAGACCAAACTTTTTCCGTATGGACCAGGCGACACGCTAATGCGAGTGCGGCTTCAACCTCTATGCACATTCGGTGGAAATTGCGGTCCATGAGGCTGGTGTTTCATAGTTTCGCGCCCGTGAACGGACCGTGCGGATTCGCGAATAGCGTCGTGCACTGGCGCCTGACGCGTATAAGGCGCCTTTCGATAGATCGATTTCAATTTCGTCAGATTCTATATATTTTTTAAGTGTCCTACGTGCTGTGTTTCTTTTGCTTGTGCTTCCAAACTGGAAATATTTTCTTTTTGAATGAATTTTGTGTCTGCGCACTCATGAACTTGCCTGGGGGCTTACCGCCACTTTCAAACGCACTGCACGAGCGAAAGAATACACACAGGCACGTGGAACATCTAAAAATATAAAGTACAATGAAACTGAAATTATGATCGGAGAGCGCGGCCTGTGCGCCAAGAACGCGACATATGCCAGTGCGCGTGTTGACGCTCTCCGCAGGTGCACACTGTCCGCAACATCCGCAAGCCGATCAGAGTATGAAAAACAGCCTTAAGCAGTGCGCGTTCGTACGGCTCGCTCCCTCGGCTTGAGTGGAGCATGCGAGGATAGCAATGATCAGCATTCGCTCCCAACAACTGTCAACTAACCTGCACAGAAACTTTGCCATGTTTGAAGAGAACAATGCCCAAATTCTTCACCGTCGACTCCCTGATGGGCATAGCAGCCTCAGGAATCGTATTCAGGTTGAACACAGGAACCACTGAAATAGGCTCATTGAAAGGAAATCGGACTGTCACGAGATGTGCTCAGGAGTTGGTGTTTTGGAAAGTACAGTGGCACTTCACAAACCGCAAGAACACTAGGCGAAATTGGTGGGGTAGCCGTAATGACAATGGTGGATGCGAAGGGAACTGATAAATTGAAAAAAGAAAAGAAACAAAGAAACCACCGACTACGTGATTACGTATTCCCCCTCTCCCTCTGGAATACGGGCAAGGCGTGTCCGGACGGTGGTCTTAACTTGCTTGCTTCATTGACTTCACTAAACAGTGCGTGGCGTTGAATTAGATCGCACCCCCGCAATCCATACTGCGTATCACGGAGTAGCGGAGTACCTCGTCCATAAGTTATCATGAGCCATCAGACCACTTCGTAAGGCCCTTAGCGGCCACTGTTGCGGCATTTTCAAGGCGACAGCGGCATATAAAGGATAACTCGTGCGGCATACAAATCCTTTTCACAGAATAGATTTCCTCCCAATTAAACCTAATCTGAGGGCGGAAGTGGTGTAGTGACAAGTGGCGCGCTCACCACGCGAGCGGTCCGGGATCAAATCCTGGGTCGTGAGTCGCCCGCCAACCAAGCCTTCCATCCCTCCGGGGTCGGTTAATTGGTACCAGACTTGTCTGGGAGGATAAAAACACTGACTTGAACATCGGCTGGCCCCCGCAAGTCATTGTATAGGCCACATCGCATTCAAACGCCACTACGAATGTACAAATGGAAGTAGAATGCGTGCCGCATCCCAAAAAGGGATTGATCAACGGCAAATGCTTTATCCTTTATCCTTTATGGCGGATTGTTGCTGC